ACTATTGCTCAAAACTATCAGGAACTATAGAACTAAGCTGCATCCGACAAGAACTGGCATTTATTTTTGATTTGCTGTCAAATGATCTGCTACGGGAAGTTAGCAGATCATTTCGGCAATCGGCTTTTTTCAAGGTAAAAACGTTAGAACTATTGCTAAAAACTATCAGGAACTGTAGAACTCAGCTGCATGCGAAAAGAACTCTCTTTTATTTTTGATCTGCTGTACAATGATTAGCTAGGTTCACACACACTGTTCTCCATGGGCGGTGCCGACTGCCGGTACTGCTTTAAACACCATCAAGTAATCTAAAAAAGGATATAAATATACATAGTCAGAATTTATTAGGTTATCTGTCTGATGGTAGGATGGGTAACAGGGTTGAAGAGACTACTGATGCATCTAGTGATGCATCATCAGCAAGCGGCTTGAGGTTTGGTTGGTAATAAATTTATTAGTTTATTTACACTTTGGTATAAAACATATATTGGCGAAGTTGAAGCCTGCTGGCACTTTCTAACAGTCAATAATAAAAACAGCGAGGCAGTGTGTTAAGAAATATAAAAAAGGATGGCGTATGTTAACATGCAATTAATGTATAAAAATAAGGTAGGTCTTTACCTATGAAATTGCCGTTCTGCAGTACTGGCCTGACTGACCTATTATTAGTTCAGTTTATTAAGATTAGGTCCTGATCAGTAAACGAGGTTTTAGTAATAAAGGGACAACTTCGTCTGCACGGTCGGTGCGGTGGCTGGGCAACTGGCTGCAGTGCAACGTGTCGCGGGTTCGATTCCACCACGTAACAACTCTTTGTGTGATGCACAAATTGTTATTCCGGGTCTAAGTGTGTGTGTGTGAAATTGTATGTTTGTAAACGTACCTACAACACATGACAAAATCCAAGTGTAGGGCATCGTTTTTCTCGAAGAATTTTTATTGTTTTGTACAAAAAAATATTTCGAGCGTTCTTTTTTTAAATTCTCTGCATTAGATGAGGAATGTAGAACTTAAGTTAAACATGTAGAAATCAATAAAGTTTGTTATATTCTACAATAAACGTAATAAATTACATAAGAATTACAAAGCCACTTTTTAACTGGATATGTTGGCAAACCAGCAAGCAGATCGCCTGATGATAATCCATTGGCACCGCTCGAGAAGTTGCAAGTCTGTGGTTGGCCTTTTAGATTTTTTAAGAATTTGAGTGTCGGGCCTGGGGTTGGGTCTCAGGTGACCTCACTCACACCTCGAAACACCACGCAAGCGTTTGTTTTACGCCGGTTTTCTGTGAGGCCGTGATATCTTTTACTTGCATTCGTGTCTATTGTACTCCGGTTGAGCCGAACCATTCGTGCCGAACTACGGCTCTCCCACACTATATGTATATTTATTTTGTATATGATAGAACGGCAAACAAGCAGACGGATTACCTGATGGTAAGCAATGAGCGCCGCCACGGCAATAACATAGAAGTTACAAGTGCGTTGCCGACCTTTTGGAAATTAGGGATTGAGGAAAGATTAGGTGAAGGGAAGGATTGGACTTCCAGTAATCTCACTCACACGGCAAAACAACAACCTGGTTTTTTCATGCCGGTTTTCTTTAAGGCCGAGGTATCACTCCGGTCGAGTCGACCCATTCGTGTCGAAACATGGCTCTCCCACACTTAAACTAATATTTTCATAGCGAAGTACCTAACTGCTTAGGTTTTCCTATTATTTTCACATCTGTTATGTGTATGTATATTTTAAAGATGCTGTCTATTACATTTTTTTTTTAATGTAATAGGTCGGCAAACGAGCAGATGGATTACCTGATGGCAAGCAATCAGCGCCGCCCATGGACACCCGCAACGGAGGAGTTACGAGTGTGTTGCCGACCTTTTAGGGATTAGGGATTTGGAGATTTAGGAACTGGGGAGGGATTAGGGAAGGGGAAGAATTGGGCCTCCGGTAACCTCACTCACATTTTCAGCTATAGGTACTTCTTATATGTTTAGGTAACTTCAGATCGTTATGGTTATCATAGATCGATATAACTCTTATATTGCTGCTATTTTATATTGCTATTTTATACTGCTGTACTGATGTCATTTTTGCGGAAGTAAGTAAATACTGTTTACCATAATATTTTGAAATAAATAAATCTCAAGAACTCAGGTATAAAATCAGGTAAGTCAAGTCCAGTGACACATCTTTTAAATAATAAAACAAAGCTGGCCATGAGACAAACAATGAAAGAAATAAAGTGGAGCACACACATCGATAATTCTCAAAAACGACTATACACTATGTTGTAAAATAAAGGCCATATACTTTATAGTCTCATGGTTAAAAGATTTTATTGCAAATTCAATACTTAGACCGCTTTCAAAGAACTGATAGGGCATGCATATTGTTTTAAAGAACATTAGTATGCGACGGAGGAGACGTCAATACACAGGACGTAAAACGAGCACACTTGTGTTATGACATTCACAGTTGACCGTGTCTAACAAAGCTAGTAATAGCCAAGCAAAATTTAAATAGTCTTCTATGAGTAAATTCGTGATTGTCTTTTAAAATTAGAATCTCTACAAAACCAAGGGGGAAAATTTTAAGATTTTTAGCTTATAAGTACTGAAATTTAGACCTTATGATATTGTGGTCTAATTAAAAAACAGTGATGATTATGGAATATTAATTACTAGCTACTTTCGCGCGGTTGCACTCGCTGCTCGGCACCATTTAATTGTAGCGTGATGTTTTATAGTCTATAGCACTCAGGAACATTGTATCTATCAGTGAAAGAATTTTGGCAAACCGACCAGCGGTCCCAAAGATTACCCCCTACATACAAACTTACACATTTTACCTCTTTACAGTATTAGTAAAGATATAAAAAAGAACAGTGATGATTATGGAATCGTGCCTGGCTTCATTGACGGAAGGATGAATACTACAGAATGGTACCTAGTTTCACTGGCAGTCATACTGACAGACTCACAGGACAGACTAATATTAAAAAGCGCGCGTTTATGACCTGTTAGAAGTAAATACTTTAGTTTTGACTGTGACTTTGTTTAGCCAATTATTTTTACTTTGAAAATTAATAAATCCCGTACTACAGTAATTAGTTAGTGGCCGTCAGTTTGAAATTGCAATTAACGTCTATTAACATCATCAACAGCCCGCCGCAATCCATTTTTCGACTTTGAACCTATTTAGATTAGTTTTTTGAAATTAAAATTACCACTTACTTACAAAAGTGAAACTTTTCTTAGTTAATTCACGTAGGTAAGTAGTTATTCTTATTTTCAATAAATTTTCTAAGTCTCACGGGTATATTCCAAAAAAATAGTTTACCAAATTCCTCTCTGTTATAATAATGAAACTGTTTTCGAATGCTACTATCAAGTCGAGTTTACTGCGGCAGCTGGGGCGTAAGGAGGATAGTTTCCTTACGCGTTCTGCCTCCTCCTTTGCGAGTAATAATGCTTCGCAGAAAGAGGAGCCGGCTTCCCAGTTCCTCCCATCTCCACCGTGGCCTCGACTAAGGCCGGGCGCGAGAGGTCACTTCCCTGAGGAAATGGCGGTGCACACAGTCTCGGACACCTAATCTTTATTTGTAGGTATCGAGGTGATACCATTTTTCTAATCTAATAGAGCCAAAGATGGGAAGACTTTCACATTTTTATTTTCTTAGCCTATTATTACCTATATTGTTCTAGCGGCCCAACCCCGCTTCGCACGGGTCCAACTATCTCGCTAACAACGAAAGGATCCCTTTTCCCCAATTTTCCCCTCTACTTTTCTAATATTTTTTTCATAAGAACCTTCTCCTGACAGTTTTTAATACAAAACTAAAGAATTTGTCTAAACTGGTCCAGGCCTTTTTTAGTTATGCGCTTACCAACACATTTTGCTATTAATTTTTAAATTATAGATTTGTCATATGGATTTTCTTCCTTTATTTCATTATATTTTTAGTATTGTTTTCTTAGTGGCAATAGAAATACTTAAGGGCTTACTACGTGATTTTTAAATTAATTCAACTGTCTGTTGTGCATTGAGATGAACAATCACCATTAAAACAATAAACATTAATTTTACATACCATAACTCAAATATTCTTTCGAATTAGAAGAATGAAAATAATAATTAATAATAATTACTAAAAAATATTTTACCTTTTTGTTTAAATAATAAAAAATCTAATAAACAATGAATGTCCAATACGTTTGTTTTCATTTCAAAAGTATTAAATTCTTGGCTCCCTAGCGCTCTATGAGACTAAATAGAAAATACGTTTTGATGTATGTCCCAGTAAACTACGAGTGAAGTATAAAATCCTGATTTTTAAGTCAACCTTTATTATTTTTATTAATTTTATATTTTTTACATTGTTTATTGCAAAATTTTCTTATATTGTATTTTAGTGTTTCTGGCCTTCTTTCTGTCTTCTGTCTTTCGCCGAATAAACGCATGTTTCTTTCTTTTTTTCATTTTCCTTTTTGTTTTTGTAAACCCTCTAAGGCTGCCTATGGCCGGAGTTATTCCGAACCTGGATGGAAAATATTTGTGAAAATAAATTTGCGTTGCGGGATCTAAAACAGTCATTCATGTTCCTGGGATGCGTCAGACTTCATTGTTCCAATGATTTCCTAGTTATAACTCCTGTAATCCTGGCTTACAGGAGTAGCAGCAGTTCTAGGAGGTCGTGGCGGACTTTTCCCAATCCTGGTGTGACATAACCTTTTTATAAGGATATAAAACAAAAATATATCAATATTGGGAAAATGATATACATAATATCATTAAACTTGCGTAACTCCTCCATTCTATTACTAGGCCTGTAAATATGGAAATTCCCAAGATTCGTCGTCTGTTATGGTACTTAAGCAAAATTTTCTCGAAATATAAAGCAAACACGGCCTCGGCCTTGGAATCGCACATCCACTGAAAATAATGCATACATTCTGTGGCAATTGTATTCGTATTAGTAATTCAGGCGTCTTGCGCAAAGGCTTCGTTATAAGTATGAAAGGAACTGAGCGCATGTTTTTTTCATAATAACACCACCAACATGGGTGAGGTGCGATCGTGTCTATATTTTTTGGTATACTGCCTGTGTGTACAAATATCTATCGCGAAGGTTGGTATTAGAAATAAATATTTTTTTACTATTGTGTCGGCGATAAAATAAAATAAAAAATCATAATAATTATTATTTTGTTTTTTTTTTATTATATTCTTTTTTAACAATAATGGAGCATGACATATTCTAAATTCAAAATACATATTAACTATATGAAAACCAATCAGTCCAGTTTAATAACAGTGAAAAATAAAAAAAAATATTGATAAATTTATTAATTTTATCTTGTTTAAATATTGACCACTCCGACTTCTTCAGCCCTTCTTCGGTCCTCGATTCTGGTGCGATTTATTATGCGAAGAAGATGATGGTTTCACAACAACTGCAAGCTATGAGGATTATTACGATGCACTATGTAATGACTGCCCTACAAGACGACCCAGTACTCCGACAACCATGATGCCACCAGCCAATCAGCCACAAGGTGCTCCCAACCCTGGAACACCTGGAATGCCACCTATGGGAGCACCAGGACAGCCTCCAGTAATAATGATGTCACGTAAGTGTTCACAGTCAATCATTATTTACTAGCTTCCGCCCTGGCTCCGAATGCGTGGTATGTTGATAAAAAGCAGCCTATTTGTCAATCCAAGGTACCTATACCTTTTTTTTTGTTAACGGGGGGAAACCTTCTAACGGCGCCTAGCTTTTGGGGAAAAAGACTAGGGAGTGTGGGATTTTTACCTCACTAAAACTAATATTATTCATATATATATATAAATATATATATATATATATATATATGTATACTAGTTATGTAAGTATATAGAGTATGTATTGAGTATTTTTTTTTTATTTATCTTCCACCATATACCAGTATTATTATAATATTCTACATATATATATATTTATTTTAGTGTTCTTATTATTTTTAAATCTTTTTATCGTCTCAAAGTTCTCTTCTTGTTGCACCTACCATACTCTCTCTGCATCACCCTAAGGTTGACTGGTGAGAATGCCTACGGCATTAAGTCCGCCTATGTAATGTTTTGTTGCATAAAGTTTAAATAAATAAATAAATAAAACCTCCCCGGTGGCCACCATCAACACCTATAAGGGACACCGGGACCTCTTGATAGACCAACTCCAGAGCCCCTTTGGTGCAACGCCTGTTATGGCACATCTCCATCCAGAGGTACGTGACCTCTTTAACCATCATTGTGCACGGCGGCACGTGACCACTGTGCCACCGTCTTCCCTGAAGTCACTGGGGGGCGCCTAGATTCCCCACTCAGTGCGCCCGTGACCCCAAGAAAGGTACCTATACCTATCAACACACCAAATTTTAGCCTATTTAGTCCAGCTGTTTTCGCGTGTATGAAGCGTAAAAAGCGTAAAAAGCTACCCTAGCAAGGACACTTACGGGGCACGGGCAACAATTTTAATACGACTCGTTACTTATACGCAATATAGCAACGACTTAAAACTTCATTATGTACATTTTATAAAGACAGATCGGTCCTGGGACCTCTCCTGTGGAACATCGGGTACGATTGGGTGCTACGCACCGACCTCCCGAGCGGCGTCAGCATTGTCTGCTATGCTGACGACACGCTGGTGCTGGCGAACGGGAGGTCGCATCAGGCGGCGGCCGACCTGATGTCACAAGCGGTTGCGACAGTCGTTGCAAGGATCCGGCAGTTGGGACTCGAGGTGGCGCTCCACAAGTCCGAGGCCATGTGCTTCTATGGCCGTCGGAGCGCGCCACCTCCAGGTGGGTCCCAAGTAACGGCAGGAGGAGTTACCATCGGCGTCGAGTCGGCGATGAAGTACCTGGGTCTCGTCCTCGACAGCCGATGGAACTTCACGGAGCATTTTCGTCGTTTGGCCCCTAAGTTGGAACGGTCTGGGGCCGCGCTCAAGCGGCTCCTTCCCAACCTCCGGGGGCCAAACGCCTCCTGCCGGAGGTTGTATATGGGGATTGTGCGATCCATGGCCCTCTACGGTGCCCCTGTGTGGGCGCCGGACTTGAAGCGGCGGCCGGCTCGTACGCTGGTCGCGTCCCAGAGGGTCATGGCTATACGAGTAATCCGCGGGTATCGCACGATCTCCGGGGAGGCGGCGAACCTCCTTGCCGGATCACCGCCGTGGGATCTAGAAGCGAAGGCGCTCGCGCGCGTCTACAGTTTGCGCGCAGACGCGCGTCGCCGGGGCGAAGATCCTCTGCCGCGCCAAATAAGTGCGTGGCGGAATGAGCTCCGGCGAGATCTCATGGCAGAGTGGAGACAACGACTGTCGCAACCGAGGGCCGGGCACGCTACCATAGCAGCGGTAAGACCCCTCTTTGAGGAGTGGCTTGAGAGACGCCACGGCGTCCTCACCTTCCGTCTGACGCAGGTGCTTACCGGGCACGGCAGCTTCGGTAGGTTCCTGTTTCGGATTCAGCGGGAGGAAACGCCCGAGTGTCGTCATTGTGAGGACCACCTAGAGGATACGGTGGAGCATACGGTAGCGGTATGCCCTGCCTGGGCTGAGCACCGCCGTATCCTCAGGGAAGTGATCGGCGGCGGCGACCTCTCGCGCCCGGCCTTAGTCGAGGCCATGGTGCGGAGTGAGAGGAACTGGGACGCCGTCTCCTCCTTTTGTGAAGCAGTCATGCTCGCAAAGAGAGAGGCGGCCCGCGTGAGGGAGCAATCCTCCTCCTCACGCCCCAGCAGCCGCAACTGGCGACACTACGGGCGTCGGGGATCGAGGGACGATCTCCGGCCACCGTAAGTACGGGCCTGCGGTCGGCGAGTAAGGGCAGCTCGCCGCCCGACCAGAACCAGGCCCGAGCGTACGGCGCGTAGCGTTCCGCGCGCGCCTCAAAGAGCCAATAGACCACCACAGACGGGGCCCTAAAGGGCTGATGTTCAGCCGGGGTTGCGGGGTAAGCGCAATAAGGTACCGCGACCTCGGCACAGAGCAGGAGAAGGAACAGGGGGGTTTTTAGTCAGTAAGAGTCTGACACTCCCTCCTGCCCGGCCCTGGGCGGGAGAAGTCATTTGATGATTTTCCCCTCACAAAAAAAAAAAAAAAAGACAGGGGAAATGTTATTTTTCCATCTAAATAACCAAAGATATTTTTGAAGAAAGAATGAGAAATACAATAAAAATAAACGAAAAGCAAATGCACTCAAGTACTTCGAAAATGAACTTAGTTAAGTTTTTAGACTTTCACTGGAATAAGTTACGTAGGACTTTGGACTTGAAAGAAAGATTTGATATCCATTTTATTCTGTGATAAAAATTACCACAGTAAGAAAACAACAAGCAAATCCTCTCTCCGTGAGTATCAGGCTCCAGGATTTTTACATCTTTAAACTGATCCGTTTTTCAAATAATATGATAACTTCGTGATTAATAATAATGATTTTTTTTTAATTTATGTCGTGGCTGCGTCTACAAACATACAAATTTACACTAGCATTATGTCCTAACTAAGCAAAATTTGTGAATCACACAAACAGTTCCTTGAGGAAATCGTACCAGACGATTTATTATTATATTAGACGATTACTGTAACAAGTTTATACTTTTTGCTTCTCACCGAATTGTTAGGTTATGTCTTATTTGTAAGGTGATACGACAATTCCCGGCCCGTAGCAGGAGGGTACCAAATCTCGCCCCAGAGAGTTTGAGCTCATTCGATGTATCCAGGTCTACCTACTGACGACGAGAGCAAATCAGAAACTTATTTTTCGTGTTTTCAGCCACAAATTTTACTAAAGCGGGTGGTATTAGGATATAGGACGATATTTTATTGACAAGTAAAACAAAAGCTAGACAGTCAAATGGAAATAGGGAACATCATCCAACGGTATTGCGAAAGAAAGCGTTCTTTCCCCGAGCCTACTGCGAGCTTGCACCCACAGTACCCATTGAGCATTAAAACATCCTCGGAAATCGAATATGTTACCCCATTTCTCACAGAATATGGCAACTTATCTACACTTATAATGAAAAGTATATTATTTAAAGTTCTCCAATCGCCATGGTATCATTGTTCTATAGAGGTATTTCAATAGGAACATACCACGTTGTTGTGAATTTTGGAAATAAGCCAAAATTTGACGAGTAGAAAATTTGTTTCAGCGCTTTTATGTAATAAAATTCGGTTGGGTTAATATGTAACAATACTACTAAAAGTATGAAATGTTTTAGGGAATTCGGCGCTCGGCTCGGGCGGGAGGGAGTGTCAGACTCCTACTGACTAAAACCCCCTGTTCCTTCTCCTGCTCTGGGCCGAGGTCACGGTGCCTCATTGCGCTTTCCCCGCAACTCCGGCTGAACATCAGCCCTTTGGGGCCCCGTCTGTGGTGGTCTGTTGGCTCTTTGAGGCGCGCGCGGAACGCTACGCGCCGTACACTCGGGCCTGGTTCTGGTTGGGCGGCGAGCTGCCCTTACTCGCCGACCGCAGGCCCGTGCTTGCGGTGGCCGGAGATCGTCCCTTGATCCCCGACGCCCGTAGTGTCGCCAGTTGCGGCTGCTGGGGCGTGAGGAGGAGGATTGATCCCTCACGCGGGCCGCCTCTCTCTTTGCGAGCATGACTGCTTCACAAAAGGAGGAGACGGCGTCCCAGTTCCTCTCTGAAGACCTGGGGTTAGGGTAATGATTAAGCCTCCGGTCTCCTTACTGATACATTTTTGAAACGTCCCGTTGAATTGTCCGTTTATCAATCCATCAGAGAATCTGTCTGCTCGTACCAAAATATAGATTTGTATGCAGAACAAAATTTTTGGTCGTGGCCCTACTACACTTTTGTTGGTAAAGTTCTGAGGAATGCGTTGCAAACTTGTCCCAAAAATGCCAACTAAATTATTCAGTGTACCTGCAAGACTCTGCAAAAACTTAAACGTTTTTAACAACATCGGTGCGTACGTAAACTTCAATACAGTTTACATTAAAAATGAAATGAGGTTTGATTGATTAGTAAGTCCGTTAAGACATAGTTGCACATACCAGTTTTTAAGTACCAAATTAATTGCCCGTTGATATTACTTGATTGATGCGTTAATATTTCCTTTCATTCATCACTGAATTTCGTACCAATTTTATATTACACAAATAATACTGTTACATTCTTATTAATTAAACAGTTTTTTGTAGGTTATGCACCCTCTTCAATATATCATTTTTTTCAATTTCCTACCAATTCAAATTACCCTTTTCACTGTTTTGACAATTTCATCATATAAGTATAAAATATTTTTTTAAGAAAATCAGGACATGATTGTTCCTTATGAATATCACTAAAGTCAAATCAGGGAATAATATTTTTTGTGTCGTTGCATTACAATAAACAACTTAAATGATAATCTATTTCTATAATTTCCCAACCTATCATCATAAAACAGCGTCCATAATACGGTAGTTTCCAACTAGTCAAATTCAATACTTTTATCCAAATGTCAAAAAATACTTTTCTATGAAATTTGTGCGAAAAACTGAGGTATGACGTCATAACAGTTTTGCGTCAAATAGCTTACTTATTTCTGAATAATAAGCTAAAAAATTCTAAAACTTAGTGTATCGATCGATCGATGAATAAAAGTATAGTTATTTTTCAATATTTTATTGTATTAAAACGTCGAATTAATTTATTTTTAACCTAGGACACTACCCAATTCCCCAAGATCAGATACAATTGCTTCAATCCTATAATATATAATTTGCAAAACAATTATTTCAACCAAAGAATCAGTAAGACAGTAGTTCTGAATATTTACGTCATCAACTGTTACAGCTGAAGTATAATTGACAAGCGTAACATTTTCAAAGTAATGTTTTCAGGAAGCGACATTATCATTCAAAACATCGTCTTGTTCATGTTCTTCTGTGCCATCGTGGAAAAATATTATGCTAAATTTATTTTAATCTGGAATTTCCATGTGGTTTGGCTTTACCTTATAAGCCAAAAAATATTTAAATTTATTCCTCATGAAACGGTCGCGGGCCCTCTATGGATTATCCCGTAAGCGTGGGTGTACTCAGTGCTTATATGAACCGATATACCACCCGCAACACGGTTTAATATAGCCACGGTTCGGCGTAGGCCTTGAAATAGAAATTAGGTCTTAATTAGTTTCGTGAATAAGCATGTTTGTTTAATGATGACACTTACAATTTCAGCCAACCAAGGCGGGATGAGCTTCAATATGATGCCGGATCCGAATCGACCGAACGGATGGACCTTCAGTTTTGCCCCATGGAACCCATCTGGTGGACAGTCGGGAGCAAATGGACCACCTCCTATGGCTACTCCTGCTCCAGCACCCATGACACCGGCAGGGCCTGCTTCTGCTGCTGCAAATCCAGTGCCGGTGGCAGTACCTGCTCCACCTGCAGTCGCTGCTACTACTACAGCTCCTGATACAACTGCAGCTCCGGCAACCACCGCAGCCCCCGCAGCCCCCGCAGCCCCCGCAGCTCCAGCTCCAGCCCCAGCTGCTCCTGCGCCAGCAGCTGATGCCCCACCAGCAGCCCCCGCCGCACCGCCAGCCAGGAAATAATTAATCTAATAAGTCAAGATTGTGCCTTTCTTAGCTCATAAGATTTGCTTCAGTCATCACAATGATTGAAGGTTTCGTTGTAGTATTATTGTAAGTCATTTAGGTTCATCTGTGTTGTGATGGAGATGTGGAATTGTTGAGATACGTTATCAAATCAAAAGAAAATTGGCAGTCGCCATTTTGTAAGAATATTTTAAAAGGATCTCATGAATATTTTTCCCATATCATTTTATAATATGATTTTCACGAATAGAATATACATATTTAAATGATGTGTATATACATTCATGTTATTTCCCTTTACACCAATTTCAATGATTTCACATTACCGAACAGAAGTCTCCAAACTGATAAGCGAGTAAGTGGCAAAATAAAATAACAAAAATAATATTTATGTCCCTAATACCTTTTTTTATGAGGATCGAATTAGTTGTAAGAAGAAAGAAGTCAAATAAATAGTATTCAAAGTTCAGTTACTTGTTTTGAATTAATTTATTTGTACAGGGGAAGTGTTTAATTTTGTAGAATCTTGACTATGAACTCTGACGACATTCGACTATTAAATTGGGTTATACGGAGTGTTATAGCATTCCGTCCTTACGAAATAAATTGCAATTGTCACACCAATAATCTTGGGTAATTAAGTAAGTCAAATACAACTAAGTTTTCAGATTTTCGAAATTTAAAATCAATGTTGTCCTTTATATGGTACATGAAACGACAGACTACAAATCATAAATCACAAAGTATAAACCATTTATAAACATGAGTAGTAGGTGTACATTATAGTATACGGCTACTTTACCAACTTTTTTTATCCTACTCAGGTATCTTTTTGCAACAAAACCTGGTAAGTAGGTGGGCTTAATGCCATAAGCATTCTTGCTAGTCGACCAGAAACAGAAAGAAACGTTTAAACATATGTTTTGGGTAAAAAGTTCAATTTAAACAAAATCTAACAAATATGCCATATAGTAATATGCATACAGTCCTCCTACGATTATCAAAAAAAAAAAATCCGAATCTAACAAATCCAACAAGTAACAGATCAAGTAGGAAAATCTATATTATGGGGGTTAGAAAACTTCCAGAAAAATAAAAAGAAAAATGTAGGTGATCTTGAAAATGGAACAATTTATTTCTCAACATATTGAAGCCACCTGTTCCTGTCTTCGACTGACTGGATTATGTCATGAAGCTTTGTGTGATCAACACAAAGCTAACTTACTGAACTACCCCCTTGTAACACCAAAACCAATTTTGATATAAAGTCTATGTCTGCCTAAGTAAGGTTGGAATTAGCTTGACAACACTTTCTTCGAGATATGTATAATAAATTATTAGATGGAGATTATGTGAGAGGCTGAGGAATTATTAAGTGTACTTAGTCTTTGTACGCAAGGATACACCGAAATTAATAATAACCAGGTTCAAAAGAAAATAAGGTAAGTTTTGTAACAAAGTACCTACCTATACCTACCAAATAATTAAAAATAGTCGATCATAAAAAAATATAGCACTTATTATTATTTTGGTTGAAATATTTATTTTACTCTAACAGAATTAAAGGCTGGATTTTCAAAAAAAAACGTTTATATTTTTTTATTTAAAAAAGAGATACTTACTACATAATAACTTTACCGTTTGTAGCAGTAATAAAATTGTTTAATATTTTACTGCCAAAATAATAACTGGCAATAAAAAAAACTACAGGGCTTCAGGAAATCGGGCAACAGGAAAACACATATCATAACGCAACGAGGCCGTTAGCAATGTGGATTACGGACATAAAGCGCTTTTTTTAGTATTGTTAAAAAGTTATTTATTATTGCTAGTATTTTATTGTAGCTTGCAATGTTTACAAGCCACAGTCGATGTTCAGCTAGATTATCGGTTTCCTCTGTCGCTTTGCTAATTAATCCGACTGTATACATTCCTAATGATAATGCAGATAGGGGAATTGCGTTCCCACGACCGTCCTGACTATCTCTTGCATACGTGCTAAGTTAACACCAATTTCGAATGTTTCGGATAGCTCACAGTCCAAAGTAATTACTGCTTCAATTAGCTGATAATTAAGTTGAAAATCCTTGTGTATAATTAATTATTGGTAATGATTAACTATCGTTCTGATATGAGACATTTAATTATTACTTATACTTACATACTAACGATTTTGTAAAATAACCATTGTATATCCGAATACGGCAGTTAGATTGTTTCATCCGCCATTTGTTTTCTTATACCTAGTAATTAAAAAAACGAAACGGAATTTTATTGCTTTTGTTTGTGTCGTACCTCGAAAATAGATCACAGCGTTGCAGTTAATGGTCATCAGTCTGTCTCTGTAAATATTACTTAAGGAGTTCCACAGGGCTCCATTTTGGGGCCGCTATTGTTCATTGTCTACATCAATGACATTTAATAATGTTTTAAATAGTCCAAATTTCTGATATACGCTGACGACTTTACCATCAATAATTTTATTATAATGTATGGCTTTGTCATCATATATTCAATTGAGTTCAAGCGTAATCGCGCGTCAATCTGTATGTATATGAAGGCACCGGGGGGTTGGTACAAACATCAACATCCCGATCATCGTCTTCACAGTCCATCGCAGGGCGTAGGATTTTATAATCGGACCGAATAAATTACAAAAATACGGACGTCGGCGATCCGTCTCAGATGACAGTCACAGCGCTTCCTCTCCGCCATAATAAGCACGCAGGACTGTCAGTTTGACGTTCCGCCAGAGTACGATTCATTGTACCCTCGTCCGATGAATTGTGATAAAACCTCCTTCAAAATTCAATTTAAATAATCGACGCGCCGTCATATACATAATATCTTTACCTATAAGACACTCATTTGCTCTCAGTTAGAATATGAGGTTGGACATTTGGAACCCTTTCTACCACAAATAAAAAAATGCTGTTAAAGTGGTAGGTATCTCCATTCTATGTACTTTAAATTTTATATAATACTAAGTTCAATTGGTCATACTCCGCTTGCAGTTATTATACATACACATCACACCCAAACCCGGAACAAGAATTTGTGGATCACACAAAGACTTGCGGGAACCGAAACCGCGGCACGTTGCGCGGCAGTCAGTTTCCCATCTATCAACGGGTAAGAAACTCTAATTATACACATGTGTGTTATTATATTATAAAACTCTATTAATACAAGAACAGACGTACTTAGTAATGTATGTCATGGGCCTTTCAAAGTAAAAAAATCTGAGTAAATCAATCGGGAATTCCGATCACGCGTGCGAGTGCCATATCAGGGCTTGAACAGATGGCATGGCGAATTGCTATATCACTTGTTTGAATAAGTACACAATACTAAATATTTCGTACTGGTTATCGTTCAAGGTTCGATATGCATTTGTTTTGTTCTTTTGTATTTATTTTTATATTGGTATCTTTATTTGTGGTCATTGTGATTTGTTTTGTAGGTACATACCCAACTATGCGTTTTCTACATAATCATCTACCTACATCTATATACATAGATAGAAGAAGAAGCGGCTCGGCCATAAGATTTTTTATATGAATGGTTTGAATTATTTTCGTCGGTAATTTAATTAACTTCGAAATATAAAAAAAAAAATATTTTGTCATATAACTAATGATAATAGTCTAACTACACGGTTCACCAAAGTTTCTAGTAGATTTCTTTATTATTGTAGTATACACTTTTGTTTTGTGTACAATAGTTTCCGCAGCCTAAAATTACTTAAAGTTGTCACTCTCGCTGAAGTTCAGCACGAATGGGTCGGCTCGACCGGAGTGATACCACGGCGAAACAACCACAGCGTTGTGTTTCACCGTGTGAGTGAGGTTACTGGAGGCTTAATCCTTCCCCTCCCCCGATCCCTCCCCAAACCCTTAAACTCCAAAACCCTAATCCCTAAAAGGGCACTCGTAACTCTTCCGCTGCGGGTGTTCATGGGCGGCATGATTGCTTACCATCAGGTAATCAGTCTGTTCGTTTGCCGACTTAAAAAAACAAAACAAAATACAACAAAACAAAAATAAAAAATAAACATTATTATTGAAAAGAAGAAGTATATTACTTAGTTCCACCCTGTTCCTGTTTCTATATCAGGACAAAACTAACAGGGTATGCATATTATGTCGATATTTTAAAATCCCGCTCCTAAAATATCAAAGAGCGGTAGTCGCGTTCAATTTCAAAAGCAATTTTCCCGTCGACTTTCGATCTGCATTGAAATCTTGAAATATTTCGTAAACTGTGAGTGTTTGGCACACGTGCTATTCATGTCACTTGAGAATAATGTGACTATCTTTTTCATTTGAGGCGTATAAAGAGATTGAAAAAGATAGAAAAAGATAGTCAGTTAATATACGCAAGTAGTACAATTATACGAATAATAAAAGCGTGATAAAAAAGTGGTTTAAGAAGTAGAAAAATCTTAATCGCTTTTCTACTTCCTAAAAGGTGGTTTAAGGAGTAGAAAATCGAATCGAAGTCACCCTGACTTCGATTCATTTCAGCATGACCGGGACGGCTCGACCGGAGTTATGTATACCACGGCGTCACAGAAAACCGACGTAAAACAACGCGTGTGCTGTTTCGCTGTATGTGTAGGTATGGTTACCGGACCTCCTCCTCTTCCTCCCCTCATTTCCCACCCGTAATTATCTCTCCTCCTCCATTTATCAAAAATCACCAGGGAGTCAACAAAACTGGTAAAAATAACCCGATAAATTAATTGTGTTAATACACTTAGATATAGCACTAGCCCTCCACAACCCCCCAAAACCTCAGCAATCCCTATTAGCCATGATTTACAGTAGATGAAAACGCCAAAACACTGAAGTCCAGTGTGGTCCAGGGACATAAATGACTGTTGTGGATCCCGCAACGACATAAATCAGAAGATATTATTCGAAGGGACGAAAAAAACTAAATAGTTTTTACTTCTTTTGGTAAATCTAATGTAGGTTACAGAATGACAAAAGACTTAAAGATACAAAAGAGACAGTACAACTGGGAGAAGCCCAGTCACCAACTACCATGGAAAATTTACTATTCTAATGGCTCTTATGTGTGAGCTGCTATATTTGTTTCCAGTAATAGGCATGACAAAAACGCGTTAACGGATCTAAATTTGTACTGCACTCCACAAGGTACATATAGAC